CAAAAAATATTGGTTTTCCAGTTCTTTTCTTTACTCCTTTGATTTGTCTTATTGTTGTTCCCTCTCCCCCTTTTAGTGGTGAAAGATTAGGAAGCTAGTAGCTGCACAAATAAACAATCTTAATTTTTAATATAAGCCCAGCATCACTTAGTCAGAAAACGTACTGTGTTAGTTCTGATGCTTTTTTCCCGTAGGTCTTCAAGCCAGCTGCAGTACTTGCTGGAACTCGTAAAATTTTTATTCAGGTTCCAAATTCGGGCACATATTCCATTCATTACATTTAACGAGCTCTGATGAAAGCTGATTTGAAGCTATAAGAATTTTTATTGATTAATTAATTGCTCAGTTAGTTAACTTGATTTGTTTTGTAGTAAATTTGTAACGTTATTTAGCAACACTTGAAATCTGAAGCTTCGCGTATTGCTAGACTATCCCTTTCGCTTGAAGGTGAGCAACCTAGTGAGAAGTCGATCTTCTAATTGAATTCTTTACGTATTTGCAGCCATCCCTATTACCTTGATCTGTTTGCTTTCATTTCCTATCTGCCTGTAAAAATTGTGCACTTGCTACCCGTATCACTAAGACAACTCTAACAGTTGGTATGAGAACACAGTGCTTGTGCTGTTGCTGGGAATTGCTGGACCAATTATGCCAGGATGTTTAGTCCTAAATTGCTTGCCTTCAGTTAGTGCTTCCACCTGTTTGGTGTTTGTGATGCCGCCTTAGTAAGTCACCTAGTACTCATTTAATTTCTCGCGAGTGTTACTCATTGATGTGCAATGTTCATTGGTTAACAGCAAGAAACTAGTATATCGTTTCGAATGGATTTTATTTTTTGTCAGTTTGACTGGGGCATGACTTATCAGTCAAGTCAACATCCATGTGGAAATGCAGCATTCGTCTCTACACTCCATTTTTTCAGTGACCGCCGAAATTCGACGCCTTGAGGGCGAGCTACAGGATGCTAAAGCGAAGGTATCAAATCTGGAATCAGAATTGGATTCAGCGCTGGGACGTGTTCATTCGGTCGAAGAGCAATATACCGCACTTCAGACAGAACTTAACAAAATGAAAGGCGATATTGATTCGCTGCTTCGCGAAAATGACACACTCAAGGTTTGAGAGTTCCTTTTTACGGTGTTAACTTCTAGTTATTATGTCGTAGGACGCCACTGATATTAAAAACACACCTTTAAAAAAAGTGGTCTGGTTAGAACAGTAAGATTTAAAAAAATTGGTACAAGAAGGGACTGACACTC